TTGTATCATATCTGATTATATTTTATCTCTACAAAATCTACGCAGATAATTATATAAGTAAGCTATGACTGAATGTAAAAACATGAATCTCAAATCACAGCATATTGCAATGAGTGAATGCAGGCACTTTCTATACTTTACCAAGATAAGTCTTATCTTATGCCAAGACTATGTCATAGAAATAAGTAATATTTTTTAAAAAAGCATTCAAATTACAACTGTGGCCTCTCTAGTTACTGAAATCCAAAAATATAATTTTCTGCATGAAACCAAAGCATTAATGGAAAATAACAGAGGAAATGTGCCTTTCTTTATAGTAGCCTACCTTCATTTCATAGCAACCTACTTTTAAAATGATGGATATCCTACACATGTATAAATAAGAATGTCAGTACTATATATCTAGTTTAGAATAATTTCATCTGATTGTGAGAGATGGTGCCCATGGAAGGGGAGATAGTGTGATGAGACTACAATGAAGCAACAGTTTTCCAAGGAGGGATAACATTCCAGAAAGGGAGGTTGAGATAAGAGACAGCTCAGCCCGGAAATGAATAGGAAATAGAGAAAAAGAGTCAGGACAACAACTCCCTAGAATCTTCCAGTACACTAAGGTGAAAGTAACAAGAATTTAGTCTGGCAAAATTCTACTGTGTGTAAGCAAATAAAGAACTGAATTTTGGCTGAATTGTTACATGCTGTTTTTGGCTTTGCCTGCCATATATTTTCCTATAAGAATAAAAAAAAACCCAATTACTTCAATCTCCTTTCATAGGACTTAATTTCTAAGTTCTTAATTATTCTGTTATCCTGTCCACTTATTTCAATCTTTGGTTTTTTAGTGAATACAGTTTTCAAATACAGATGTTAGTTTACTCCCAGAGTTCTGGATTTTAAAATCCATATATCTTAAAATTGCCAGGGTTGAGAAACCCGCATTTAGTGCCTAGAACTGAACTTTATCTCACCTCATGTGAGGCTACCCTCAAGCTTGATGAGCACTCTTGGAAAATGGCTCTTCAGCCAGTTACTTATTCAACTTAATAGCTACACTATCTTGTCAGCATTTAACTGCTAACCAGACAACAGAAGATTCTTAAAGTAGCTGGCTTTTCTACTAAGAGCTGCAGTGCAGATCACTCTTCTTTGTGGTTCCAAACAGCTACACCTGTGTTCCCAATACTTCCATTCATTCAAGCACCTTGGAAAACATAGGCTAATTTTCCATAGGTACTGAATCAAGCCAAATCCTCTGGACTATTTTAAAGAGTTTAGGACTTCTTAGCATTCTTCCTCAAAGAGTTTGAACCTCTGTAGAACCTGAAATTCGTCAACTCAGGCAGTAACTCTCATGTGGGCGGATGGTGCCATTTTGGCTATGTAAGAAGCCATACTCAGGAGAAAATAAGCCGGCTGGGTGATTTTGGGCCAGTCCCTCTCTTCAGCCCAACCCACTTGTCAAGGTGGTTGTTGGGAAAACAGGAGGCAAGAGTATTAAATATACTTGCCACCTTGACTTATATCCTATTTTAACCTGTCTCATTCGTGTGTATATATATGTATGTGTGTGTGTGTATATATATATATATATATATAGTGTTTTTCTATTGAAACACCTGGTCTACCCCAATATGGGAGGCAGCATACTACTTCCCTTTCACCTTTCAGCTCCAATCCAGGAGCCCTCAAGCTGGACAAACCATTTTATACCAAATTTGTATTTGCTGATAAAGAAAGGGAGACTAGTATAGATCTATTTCAAGCTATTTAGCTCTCATCAGCTAGTCATACCCTTACAACTGCCTAATATGCAGGCAGCCCAAGTTCGAATCTGAGTAAGGGTATGGCTAGCTGATGAGAGCTAAATAGTTTGAAATAGATCTGTAGTCTCCCTTTATTTCTTTATCAGCAAATATAAACTTGGTATTACACACACACACACACACACACACACACCATGTTTTCCGGAAAATAAGACCCTGTCTTATATTTTCTTGAACCCTGAAATAAGTGCCTTGGCCTTATTGCCATGCACTCAAAAGCTCGATTGGGCTTATTATCAGGGGATGTCTTATTTTTGGGGGAACAGGATATATATACACATATACATACATACACACACACACACACACACATATATGCAACGCACACCTTTAGATTTTTAAAATCCCACCATTATTATTTTTATAAGGGCCTATGACATCACATTTACAACACCTTCCCTCAATTTACCTGTGGCATTTAGAATCCATTTCCTCCCCCCATCAACCCAGGGCCTGACAAACATTCTCCAGACAATGTCAAGGGCATCTTTTAGTATGTATAGGTCAAGAACAGAGCGCAATATCAAACAAGTATCGTATCTTCCCCGAAGAACTCATGGGGACGTTTTCCTTAGGATTGGCGAAGGGCTGAATCATAGGAGAGTAAACCCTCCTGCGTTTCCCAGTACAAGTTCAGCTCAGGAAAGGAAACAGACAAAAAGGAGATCTGAGGGCTCCTTGGCGCGCTCTAAGCTCGGTGATTTTTCTTGCAGGCGTTTCTGCGAGGTAGGTAGCACTGACGACGTTACCTAGTTCGGGTAACGAAACGTCTGCCAAGAAAACAAGCGAGCTCAGAGAGCACCAAGCACGTCAACCCTGAGCTACAAAAATTCTCCTTTATTGGGAACGGGGAGGCTGGCTCCGGGGCCAAGCTGAAGGGGCACAAAGCCGGGGCTTCGTGTGAGCAACAGGCAAGGCGAGGCCGTAGAACCGAGAAGGGTCTCCAGATGCTCCTCCCTCCCGCTCCCTAACACGAGACTGAAGTTTCTACAGTCCAGCCGGTCGGAAACTCTGCCCCGCGAACCGCCTCGCGCTCGCTCTCTCTCTCTCTCTCTCTCTCTCTCCGTTCCGAAGGTTTCGGGAAGGGATTCCCGCGCTGTAACGACCCGCACGCTCCACCCCCGCCTTCTCACACACCGAGCAGGACCCCCCCCCCCCGCGCCTCTCACCTGAAGTCTCGCGCCCGCGCTTTAATTGCCCAAATCACCGGCGGCTTCCCAGGCACGCTGGAACCAGCTGATTCACGTAAAGAGAAAGAGGCGGGGTTTGCTGGGCCGAAGGGGCGGAGCTGACCTGGCGAATTAGGTGGGAAAGCTGCAGGAACAGAACATGAGGACGGGATCTTGAATGGGACAAACTAACGCAGAAGCGTGAGCTAAACCGCTACTAGAAAGGGGGTAATAACACGGCTGAAAGTGGCTCTTTTATTTTATTGAAAATACAAGAAGCGAACAAAAGAACAATTCTCGTATGATCTGAAGAAATGACAGTTATTGGCATCTTCTTAGAATGGCGTACATTCCTTTTTTGCCTCTTTCTATTTCAGAGATCATGAGCAAAATCAATAGTAAAGCGACCAAGTCTAGCTTGGGAAGCTGCGACCTCTAGTGGGCATCAAATAGAATAGACAATTCTCCCTCGTTGCTGCCCTCTGGCCGTAATGTCGCTTTTTAGTAGGCTCTGTTCAGCGCCGGTGCCTCTTTTGTTTGGGAAGCTTGTGTTTGTTTTCAAAATACCGTCAGTGCCCCGTAGACAGGAGTTAATGAATACACACCATTGTGCATGCTTTAGTACTGTTATCAATGCTGAACATTATAATTGCAACGGAAATTGGCAGGAAGTTGGAAAGGTGCAAGGGTTCTAATTTGTGCTTAAACCCTGAACGTAAGTGACCAATACTACCTAAAATATAGAGGGCTTTTTTAAAAAAAAAGTAAATTCAGCTTTGCACTGTTCAGGAATGCCAGTGCATTCCAGTGCATTCATTTCTGAATGAAGCCCAGTGAATTTTCAGTTTTAGTTTTCTTTGCTTTCATAATGTTGGGAGTTGAAGCATTTTGTAGGTACTGTGAGCCTTCCTGAGAGCAGGAATTTGATATGAGTAATTACTGGTGAAGCAGGATACAGGAAATACGTTATAGGCATGAGTAAAGCTTACCACCTAGATAACTACATCTATCAGAAGGAAAATCAGAGTCAAAGCATGTGAAGCTGGGAAGAAAAGCAGAAGGAACTGACCTGAGATTAATCGTCTTGTACATAAAACAAAGCAGGCACTGTGATAGACAAAGAGGGGACACAGAATAAATCCTTAATTGTCTGCCTACACTCCCTCAAGCTGTGCTACCAGCTGTGTAAATCATAAATACACATAATTATAACTATTGCTGTATTAGGGGAAGTAAACAGTAAAATGAGACCAGCATGCACGAACCAGTCTGCATTTAATCATATTTTACCAACTGGAAGAGATGAAATATCTCAGGTTTTTTTGAAATAAAAAACAGAGAAAAGTTCCATGCTGTAATACTTCAAGAACAAAAACATGGGAAAATTGTAAAAATTGTAATATGTGTGCACATGTGCCTTCAAGTCAGTGTTGGCTCCTGTGATTACCTGGATAAGTCCCTGAAATTTATTTGGCAGGATGTTTCAGAAGTGCCTCACCCATTGGCTGCTTCCCAAGAGCGAGAAAGAATGACTGGCCCAAGATCACCCAGTTGACTTCATGCCTAAAGCAGGACTAGAACTCATAGTGTCCCAGTTTTTAGCCTGGTGTCTCAACCATTATTGTACACCAATAGGCAAAAAACTGATGCCATAGTTTCAGATCTTGTTATTTTACCATAAGCCCCCAAATAGTTGAACATTCATTTTAAACACCTCCCACCACCTCCCCTCAAGACAGTCCCTAATGCCCTGACTTTTCATTGTAGCCTTATCCCTTGTCCCCACTGGTCTCTAGGCAAATGATTTGTGCAGCTCCCATTGAAAGGTTCAAATAATGCAAAAGAAGGGTTGCCCCTTGATACAGGCTAAGTTCTGGAGCAGCAAAGTTAGTCTGTTTCATAAGTATCACAGCTGTGAAAAGGAAGCCCACAAACTGCAAAACATACATTCTCCTATATATTCATACTTTCCCACTGATAATTTGTGTTGGAAATTAACATAATATTTGGAAACATGCACATTATCTGGAACAATATTTGGTAAACTGAAAGAGTTACACAAAAAATACATTTGAAATGTTAGTCTAAAACTGTAGAAGAAAGGGAGTTCTTATGAGTCATGAGAGACCTCGTGCAAGTCATATGAACATTCATACATTTCCAATCTTTGGTAAACACAAAAGAATATGAGAAACAGAAAATCAAGCAGTTTGAGGGCCGAAGAAAATGGGCGACATTTTATGTGGAAAATTTTCCAGCCCCAAGTGCCAATGCTGCCATTATGAAGAGAAAGATTCATCACAGCAAGACAACATACAATCAAAAGGAGAACTGAAAGTAAGCAGTTTCTTATTTATGACAGGGAGAGGCATGGGCTAAATCTCATGAAGTAAAGGAAATTTCTTGATTGGGCTGCATATTAGCTTCACAAAATAAGAAACATTAGAGAAAATAAGGTGATATCATATTAGATTGACTAATATATAAAGTTAGCCAGATGCTTGTCTTTATAAAACACAGGATGCATATGCATATTTATAGTGCATGGTCTTTGCATATGCAATACAGGTAGTCCTTGAGAGTTTGTTTAGTGACCATTCAAAATTACACTGAAAAAAGTGACTTGTGACAATTTTTCACACAACCGTTGCAGCATCCCCGTGGTCACATGATTAATATTTGGATGCTTGGCAACTGAATCATATTTATGACCGTTGCAGTGTCCTAGGGTCAAGTGATCACTTTTTGTAACCTTCTGATAAGCAAAGTCAGTGGGGAAGCCAGGTTCACTTAACAGCCATATTGATTATTTAATAATTGCAGTGGTTCACTTAACAACTGTGGCAAGAAAGGTTGTAAAATGGGGCAAAACTCACTTAACAGCTGTCTTGCTTAGCATCAGAAATGTTAGGCTCAATTGTGGTTGTAAGTTGAAGAATATCTGTACTGAATCCTTAAAAGACCTATCCATTTAAAGGCCTAGCAGAACAGACCTGCTGAACTCTGAATGGCTATAAGGTGGCAGCCAAAACATACAGAAAACTAATTCATCTGGACTTTTACCATATCGAAGTATAACCTACTATATTCTCATACTATAATATAATTCTGTCACAAATCAGCTAAAAAAAACCCAGAGGACTGATAGCACAAAAAATATGGGAAGATCTGATGAATAAGCACATATCTTATGGGGCTCCCTTGAGGAGTACCCGGAGGCTCCAACTGGTGTAGAATGCGGCCGCACGGGGGATTATGGGAGCGAGGGGTCGCTCCCATGTGACACCTCTCCTGCGTGAGCTGCATTGGCTTCCAGTGGTCTTCTGGGTGCGCTTCAAGCTGTTGGTTACCACCTTTAAAGTGCTCCATGGCATAGGACCTGGGTATTTGCGGGACCGCCTTCTGCTGCCGATAGCCTCCCACCGACCAGTACTCTCCTACAGAGAGGGACTCCTCAGGGTGCCATCAGCCAGGCAATGTCGGCTGGCGACCCCCAGGGGGAGGGCCTTCTCTGTGGCAGCTCCTGCCCTCTGGAACGATTTGCCCCCGGAGATAAGAAGGATATCGGATCTCCGGGTCTTTCGCCGTGCCCTGAAAACTTTTCTTTTCCATCAAGCAGGGCTGGCGTGAAACACCCCCCCCTTTTTTATAGTTTTTTAGTTTTTTAGCTTTTAATCTGTCAATGGGTTTTAATTCGAATTGTTTTAAATTTGGGCCAAAGTATGTAATTCTTTTAATAATTTTAAATTTTGTATTGGTATGTGTTTTAGTTCTGGCTGTGCACCGCCCTGAGTCCACTAGGAGAAGGGCGGTATACAAATTGAATAAAATAAAATAATAAATAAATAAAATAATATCCGTTATTGAAATGTTATTAATTCACCCAGCCAATTTAGAGCTCTAAGAAGGATGCAATAGACAAGGAATTCGTTGCATCCACCATAGTTCCATAATTTTCAGAAATCAAATCTGGAAGAGCTATCAATTCTGTTTCATCCAGAGCATGAATTTTGGTGATGAATTCTTGTGGGAAAGGACTTCATGCTTTACATGAAATGAGCTGTAGAAGACATTGTTCATCAAATCTGTGTTTGAATATGCAGCTTAACTTATTCTAGGTTTGATGGGTTACAATAAATGTAAATAACAGATAATGCCCATAGTAATTTCAGTTAACTCTCAATCACAAATAACATGATACACACATATGTATATATGTAAATATAAGTGTGTGTGTGCGTACACATGTATGAATGTATGTCTTGGAGTTAGAAAACAAGGAGAAAACTTTGGTCTTCTCAATTAGTATATGAAAGATGATCCTTTACCAGGCAGAACAAAAAACAATTCATTTGAACTTTAATTATGCGCTCAGATAATCTATCACCTTTGGATTCTTGCTTTTAACTTCCTTACCTCATGAAAGATCTATTAAACTTAATTAATTTTTCTACTGAATAATCTTGCTGGGCTCACCAGGAAGGATACTTCTGGCACATTAAACATTCTGTATTCTACTATTAGCAAAGCATAATCAGTGTAGACATGTCTCAGAAGTGACAATGACAGGTCTTATAAGTGAGCAATTGTCTGCAATCACAGGTTCAAGTGAGACAGGAAATGTCATCTGAGAGCTGTTTTTGAGTTTGGGAGTCTGAGAGTTTGTTTTCAGACTTGGAAAACATGTAAAGGGGATACTTTTTGCAATCATCAAAGTATAACTTTCATGCGTTAATTGATTCACACATAGTGAACTGTTGGGTCAAAAAACGTTTAAAAAATCTTAGAACTGAATGCATATGTTCTTTATCTCTCTCCACTGATACTCAAGACAAGAAAAAGTCTCCCATTTGGGAACGTTTCATCCTACTTGCCTCTTGAGACACTGAGTGAAGGTCCTCACTCCGTGGTGTGCAAAGGAATCAGCAGGTGAGTGTTCTGCAATGAATAAAAAGCTTTATAAGAAGCATTCTAGAATGAAAACATTTGAAAAGCTAATTACTAAGGTACAATAAGATCATCTCAGCTATAAAAAATAACTCTGTTAAAATTAGAGCATTCTTTGCACTTATTGCAAATCCATAAATATTACCTGGAAAGTTGTTATACTACTAAGTGAAGAAAAATAGTTTCACGGGTGATGCGCAATGTATCCAACAACTATTTAATCCAAATGGATCCTCACACTAATGCCTCTCAAAAGCTTTGACTCTGTGTCTGCATGATTGCAGAAATGAGAATTTAACCTTCAGTCAAAGTAGGTTTCTAGATTATATGTCATGCCATGTTTCACTGCAGAAAGGGGAAGGAAAACTTTGTTTTTGTAGTTTGAAGAAAGCAAATATTAGCATGTTTTATCCTTGAAGGCACCATTTGGAGACATGCCTCCTCTCTCCACATATTTGGTAGACTGTTTGACTGCATAAACAAAGCTATTATTATATGTATGAGTAAGTCGTTTTAGTTTATGTATTGCATGGTACTGAATTACTTCAATGGTGGTAGATTTATAGATTTGATTTGTGAATTCAGTTATTCGGTATAGTGAAGAGACATATTATATTCTGTCCCAATAGAATATACAATCAGCTGGTAGCTTTGAAAGTCATCAGCCTAAATACTGAGGAGGGAATCCCTTTTACAGTCATAAGAGAAGGTAAGAAATATGAATACCCCATTGAGTCTGTGTGATGAATCATGACCTGAATATTGTGACCAGTTAGGTTGAACTAAGTATTATTATTATTACAGTATTGAATCATTATTTTGATGCCTTTGACTCAGTGGTGACTCCCGCTAATCTGGATGAATCCCTGTAGTTCTCATGGCAAGATTTCAGAAATGGTTTGCCATTGCCTTTTTCCTGGGGCTACGAGACAATGATTGGTCCAAGGTCACCTAGCTGGACTAGAACTCACAGTCTCCTAGTTTCTAACCTGCTATTTTAACCACTACACCAAACTGGGTCTCTTTTGTATTAGGCTTTGAATTTGAATGTATTAATTGAATTTATTAATCTTAGAAGCAATAGAAGGCTATATTGGTATTTAAACAGAACAGTGGTGAAATCCAAATTTTTTTATTACTGGTTCTGTGGGAGTGGCTTGGTGGGCATGGCAGGGAAGGATACTGCAAAATCCCCATTCCCACCCCACTCTGGGGCCAGCCAGAAGTGGTATTTGCCGGTTCTCTGAACTATTCGAAATTTCCGTTACCAGTTCTCCAAGCTGCTCAAAATGTCTGCTACCTGTTCTCCAGAACCTGTCAGGACCTGCTGGATTTCACCCCTGAAACAGAATCAGTTGTCTACATTTCTGAATATTTTGCTCTTCCCATCCCAGGCTTACAATCAGATGCACACATATATGTGTGTGCATATATAAACAAGAAATATTTATATAGTGGGTTTATTACCCCTGAGATATACTGTAATCAGGTAGAGTAGAAGTTTATGCTACTGCTGTCTAAAATACCTGCAGATGCTCCAGGCTATATGTCCCTACTTGCACCTAACAAATCTGCCCACACAACTTATTTTTTCTGGCATGTTCCCATCATGTTGCCTTCATCACATTCCAGCCCATTAAGGAAACAGGCTTTAAGTTGTCCTTAATTGTGTTAAGATCAAAATATTCCCCCTGCCCCTGTCATACACACCCCAATTTTGACACTATCCAAGGACAGCCCCAAGATGTGCAAAATCTGCTAGGTTTTGTTATCCCTAGGATTGGAAGGAAGTCACTGAAATGATTGCAGTTAATGAAAATGCTACTTTTAGGGTTTTTTTTTTTCCTGATTCAAGAATTGGTAGAGAACCCTATAACTCAGTGGTAGAGACAGACTTATTTTTGCTGTGTTGAAAGGAAGGCTTCTGAAAGCATGTTTATATGATATATTCAGCCAAGCTTTGTGCCAACCGTAGGTGAATTCTTTGATCTAATGCCAGTCATCATTACAAACTGAGGCAAACTCCTGCTTGGGAATAAACAAAACCTTGGCCAGTATCCCACCCACCTACACAGGGATGGGGCAGCTTAAATATTTGCTTTTTAAAATTTTAACATTGAAATTAAAAGCAAACAAAGAAACAAAAAAACAATGGTGTATCCCAGTCACTACACATCTTGTGTGAACAGAGTCACTTATGGCATGTACATATTTACATAACCCCTGTTTTGCAATCACTCTTTCTTTCCTTCTCTGTTTACAAATGCTAGAAGGATGAGTTAACCATAACATAATTCTGGCTTCTTGGTCCTGAAGACCATAGCTGGTGGCTAAGAAGAGGCAGGAGACATTCTACAATAAATTCTGGTACTTCCTGCTTCAACCAAAGACCACAATGCTTCAATCAACGGTTTATCTTCTAGACAGTCTTTAGCAAATAGGTCCTGGAACCACTGATTAATTCTGGAAGGCAAAAACAGGGAAGGAGGTTGAGACAGGGGAAGAAGTTTGTTCCTGTTGTAAGAGATTGTCTAGGAAAAAAGAAACATCTGATTTGATGGAAAATTTCCTGAGAAGTAAGCTAACCTTACGTAGTAATTTCATTGTGATTATTCCGGTATGATTCTGATTATTCCTGTGCTGCAGCCTAAGCAATCCAAGTAATTTACAAACATCCCCCTCCAAAAAAAAAGGCTCTGCAGATCTGCAAAGGAATGGCAGTGAGGGTTTAATTATGTGTTTTTTTTTTTTTTATTGAGTTTTAAACAGAGATATAAAGACAATACAAAAAAAAATACAAAGACATTACAAAGACAAACGAATTCCCACCACCAACCTACCCACACTATATTTTACATATATGTTTTGGTCATCATCAGAATATATATTGCTTTATAAATTAATATATACTTAATACATTGTCAATTCAGATGTTTTAGATTAGAAATAATCTTGCATCTCCTCTTTATTTAGCTGTTTCCGGTTTTATTTTTCCTACCCTATAATCTTTCATCTATATTTGTACTGATTTTCTTTTCCAGCCATTGATACCACTTGTGCCACACAAGATAGAATTCACTTTCTTCTTTATCTTGGAGTTCTAGTGTCAGTTTATCCATTTCGGCACATTCTGTTATCTTTGAGATTAGTTTGTCTTTGGTTGGGAGTTGATCTGATTTCCAATTTTGCGCAAACAGTAACCGTGCTGCTGTCAAAATGTGTATGATGAGGTACTTTGTCTCTTTGTTGTATTGTGTTGTTATCATTCCAAATAAAAAAAATTCTGGGGTGTTTTCTACTTGTTGGTTTATTATTTCTTCAATGATTTCCTTTGTGTCCTTCCAGTATTGTTGGGCCTTTGTACATTTCCACCAGGCATGGTAGTATGTCCCTTTTTTTGTTTTGCACTTCCAACAGCGTGGGGAGGTGTTTGGATATATTTTGGCTAGTCTGGCTGGTGTTAGGTGCCATCTGTAAAACATTTTTATGAGGTTTTCTTTGTAGGGTATGGCTCTTGTCATTTTAATATTCTGTTTCCACAATTTCTCCCAGTTTGCCAGTTGGATGTTGTGCCCTATGTCCTTGGCCCATCTTATCATATTTTCTTTTACTGTTTCTTCCAGTAATTTATATCTAAGTAAGTAGTTATATAATTTGGTTATCATTTTTTGTTGTGGGCCTTGTAAAATCTTATCCAATTCGTTCAAATTATTCGAGATTCCATATTGCTTTTTGTCTGCTATGTATCTTGAGTGTATTTGAGTATAGGGCCACCAATCGATATTTATGCCGGAGTTTTGGAGTTGCTGTCTTGAGACGAGTTCGCCTTCATGATTCAGTAAGTCTTGGTACCTCATCATTTTTCCTATTTCGAGCGTGTTTGGGTATATCAACGCTTCCATCGGGGACCACCATTTTGGTATTTTGGTATAGTGAATTCTCTTAATATCCTGCCAGGTCTTGAATAATGAAGCTCGAATTATATGACATTGGAAGTACGTGTGTCTTTTATCCGGTCCGTCCCATAAGAAAGCGTGCCATCCTCTTATTAAGTCAAAGCCTTCTAAATATAAGGTTCTTTTGTTGCCGAGTTCCATCCATTCTTTAATCCAGGTCAATCCCGATGCCTTATAGTAGAGTTCCCAATCTGGTGTTGCTAGGCCTCCTTTGTCCCGTGAATCCTGTAGAGCTTTGATTTTAATTCTGGCCTTCTTTCCCTGCCATATGTAGTTCATTGTTATTTTGTTGAGGTTCTTAAAGAAATCTCTTCCGGGGTGTATTGGTATCACTTGATATAAATATAGTACTCTTGGTAATATATTCATTTTTATTGAGGCAATTCTGCCCATCAATGAGAGTTGTAATCTACTCCAAATTTCTAAGTCTTTTTTGATTTGTTTTAACAATTTGGTATAATTATCTTCTTTAATTGTAGTTGCTTTTGCTGTCAGCCAAATACCTAGGTATTTTATTTTCTTTACTATTTGAAGTCCTAATTCTTGCTCTAATTTCAACTGTTGTGTTTGGGTCATATTCTTCGTCAATACTTTCGTCTTCTGCTTATTTATTTTGAGGCCCGCAACTTCCCCGTATTCCTCTATCATTGTCATCAACCTGGTTCCAGATCGTATTGGGTTTTCCAATATGAAGATCACATCGTCTGCAAAGGCAAGTAATTTGTATTCCTCCCCCCGAATCTTAAGGCCTTCCACGTCTTCTTCCTTCCTGATTTCCGTTAGTAAAACCTCCAGTGCGATTATAAATAATAGAGGTGACATGGGGCAACCTTGTCGTACTCCTTTCTGAATGTCGAAAGTTTGTGTCATGTCACCATTTATTGCAATTTTGGCTGTTTGACAGGAATAAATCTTTCTTATCAATTTAAGGAATTTCTCTCCGCAATTCATTAATTCAAGTTGTGATGTAAGAAAGGACCAATTTAAATTATCAAAGGCCTTCTGGGCGTCGAGAGATATTAGAGCTATTTCCTTATCTATTTTCTTATCGTAGTATTCCAGTATATCTATGATCGTTCTCAAGTTATTTTTAATCTGCCTCCTGGGTATGAAGCCGTTTTGGTCTGTATGTATATATTTATGGATTATTGTTTTAAGTCTCTGCGCTAATATTGACATGAATAGTTTGTAGTCTACATTGAGTAATGAGATGGGTCTGTAATTCCTAACTTGGGTCCGGTCTAAATCTTCTTTGTGTATTAACGTAATAATGGTTTCTGTCCATGATTTTGGATTTCAGCTGTCAATAATGCTGCGTTGAAGACTTGTAGCAGTATTTCGTCTATTTCTTGTTGGGAGTGTTTATAAAATTCAGTAGGAATTCCATCTGGTCCTGGAGTTTTGTTGTTCTTTTGTTTTTTACGAGCTTCAATCAATTCAGTCATTGTTATGGGGCGATTCAAGATCTCTCTATGTTCTTCTTCGAATTGTGTAATGTTCACTTTACTAAGGTATTTTCGAATTTGGTCTTCGGGGACATCTTCCTGCCGATAGAGATTCTGAAAGAATGTTTTGGCTATGTTTTTCTTATCTACGTGTGTGTGGAATAAAGTTCCTGATTCGTCCTGGAGTTGGTGTATAATTCTTTTGTCTGTTTGCTTTTTTAATTTATGGGCTAACCAGCGTCCAGTTTTGTTTGCGTGTTCGAAGTTGGTCTGTTTTGCCATTTTTATTTTTTGTGCCAAATCAGCTT